CTCTCTCTCTCTCTCTCTTGCATTTTACTCCACTTTTTCTCGTTGGCGTGTGACTTCTGAGCGTGTCTTGGAGCGAGCTCGGCTAAGCTCGGAATGGTGTGCTCCCCACTTTCTTCGGACCCACCAGCATCCCCGGCCTTTCGTCCCTTCACCCACCTGTCTTCGACAGTTTCTGCAGGATCCACTCGACCTGCCTGTGGTTCCTTCCTCTCTTGACTGCACCTCGCACGACCACAACGGAGCTGGTCAGCGCTCGGAGCTTTTCGTGCACAGACTGCCTACCATGCTAGCGCGGTCGCTTCGTCTCGCCGCGCTCCGGCCGTCGACTTCATCTCGCTGCCAACCTCTTGTCCAAAATGCTGCCTCCCCTTCTTTTAAACGTGCTGCCACACCCTCTGCATCCTTCTCAACGTATGGACCCGCCTCGCGTTCGCAAAGCAGCAGGATGACTACCATAGCTTCCACAGCCGCTGCCGTCTTGGGCACCGTCGCTCTCTACACCTCCCTATCTCCCCGTCATGCATCGCCTCTCGAATGTGAGGCCGCAAAGCCAACACCGGCATCCGCCATCAAGGGCGGCAACCAGTCGGATCTGCCAGAGATCTCGCACCTCGATCCAAAGCTCTTGACCGACACATCGGCACCCATGCGCAAGAGGATGGAGACCTACGTCAAGCTGCTCCAGTACAATATCGTCTCGGCCCTGTCGCAAGAAGAGCCCAAGGCCAGATTCTTGATCGACAGCTGGCTACGTAAGGAGGGCGGCGAGGGTATCTCGTGTGTCCTCCAGGACGGCTCGACCTTCGAAAAGGCTGGCGTCAACATCTCGGTCGTCCACGGCATGCTCCCTCCTGCCGCTGTCAAGCAGATGAGCGCAAACCACGCCGGCCTCATGGACAAGACAGGATACAAGCTGGAAGGCAAGGATGCCGACGTCAAGGGTCTGCCCTTCTATGCTGCAGGCCTCAGCTTGGTCGTGCATCCCAAAAATCCCTTCGCGCCCACCGTCCATTTCAACTACCGTTACTTCGAGCTCACCCATCCCGAGAAGCTTGCCGATGGCTCACCCAACCCGCGCCATCCGAAGAATCGCAAGGACGGCGAGCACGACAACGAGCCGATCGCTTGGTGGTTCGGCGGCGGCACCGACTTGACCCCCATCTACCTGTTTGACGAGGATGCCAAGCACTTCCACCAGACGCTCAAGTCGGCGGCAGACCAGCATGATGCCTCCTTCTACCCGACCTGGAAGCGATGGTGCGACAAGTACTTTTGGATTCCGCATCGAGGCGAAGCACGCGGCGTCGGCGGCATCTTTTTCGACGATCTCACCCTCCCCGAGTGGGCGTCGAGCAATTCGACCAAAGCCTACATCGCGCTGTCCGACGGCACCAAGCCGACGCCCTCCAAGCCGCTTGTGCCCTCGGTGTCCTCGACCAAGCAGCACAACCAGGACTCGCTGTTTGCGACCGTGCGCTCGCTGGGCGATGCCTTCCTCCCGGCCTACTTGCCCCTCGTTCAGAAGCGAAAGGCGACGCCCTTCACTGAGGCTCACGAGCGATGGCAGCAGATTCGAAGGGGTCGTTACGTCGAGTTCAACCTCGTCTACGATCGTGGCACCAAGTTCGGGCTGCAGACGCCCGGCGCCCGTATCGAGAGCATCCTCATGAGTCTGCCGCTCAAGGCACGATGGGAGTACATGGAGAAGTACAGCGGCGGAGGCGCACAGGGTCGCGACGGCAAGGCAACCACTTCCGCCGACGAGCTTGATGCTGGTGATGAAGAATCTGGAGCGGCCGAGAAGAAAACCCAGGCGGCGCTTCGACAGCCCAAGGACTGGGCCTAGATCACCTCGACCCTCCAATGGCATAGACACCAATGAAGTGCATCACCCCTCTCGACTTCAAATGCTGTTTCCAGCGTCGCTTGTTCGCAATTGGTGGAGCAGGAATGGCTGCCCCGACCGGGCGCTGTGCGTTAAGTTATTCTATCTATCGTGCCGCTTCTAGGTCACAGGATGAGCATCATCATGTGGGCCGCGGTGAGTTGTTCCGAGACGCACGTGCGGGGCTGACGTGTTCGGCGAGTCTTTCTGCGAGCTCGTCGGGCTCAGTGACCGCAGCAGGCTCGGCGAGGGGCGTGACGATGGATTCTGCCGCCGTGGGATCTCCTTGTGGAATCGCCGCAGACGAGGCGCTTTGCTGCGGCTGGCTACCTTGTGACGCGTTGCGACCCGAAGACGACGAACTGGTCGCCATCGTCACTGGAAGGGGCAAGAACGCCGAAGGACCGCCCTTGCTCCCGGTCGCGCCGTACTGGGGTATCGCGCGGGAGAGCCCACTCCTGCTTGTCGCCATGGGTGGGACTGGATTGAGGCTAAACGACGGCGGAGGGGTGGCGAGCAGAAGGTAGTGACCCGCACTCAGGCCCGTGGGCCGATCCATGCTGATCAAGCTGAGCTTTGGTGTGCGCAGACCGGCCGAGGACGACGACGAGAGCAGACCAGCGCTGGCCTGGTTCGTGGCGGATCGCGAGAGGCCTGATGCGCGATCGAACGACCCGGACAGACGTGCGCTCGCCTTGTGCGGCGAATTGGTGCGCGAGCGCGGTCGCGCCCCGGAACTTGTCTGCCTCGCTCCACCAGGCACACGTAAGGCATTGCTTGGCGGCAGCCGGCCCTCCTCGAATGCAGGTTGGAGGAAGTCGACGCGCGTACGACCCTTCTTTTTGCCATGCGGAGACGCATCTTCGAAACTCTCGGCCCCGTGCCACGATCGCGAGAGCAACGGCTCGGCCTCGCCGCCTTCCCCGCCTTCCTCTGCCGCTGTCGCATCCAGGCCTTCCTCTTCGCTGCCTGACATCTGCTCTTGCTCTTCCTCCTCTCCGTGCTCGCCCGATCCGTTGGAGCGCCAAGTGAGCACAAAGACACCGGCGAACGTGGTGAGGCAGCCGAAGAGGAAGTTGATGAGCCGATGAGCGTCCATGTTCTCAAAGTCGCGATACAGGATCGCCGAGCCGACGATGGCCGAGATGGTGAAAAAGACAAACTGCGCCGGGATCACTTCGCGGCTGTCGAATCGCTGCAGCGCACGATTGAGGTAGGTGATCTGCACCACTGCTGTCGCTGCGAGTACGAGCACGAGCATGTATGTGATGGGGAATTTGAGCGCTTCTATCGGCTGCCCGCCCGAGATGAGCGACGAGATGCCTTTCGTAGACAGCACAGTGAAGCCGCCGAAGATCGCACACGTCCCCACGTCGATCAGCACCCAGCGATCGCCGAGGGATGTGGTGCTGAGGAAGGCGAGCAGCACGCCGGACGAGACCGAGACCGCCGAGTAGATGACGAATTCGAGCCGCTTGATCGCCTGCAACAGCTGCGTGGGGTCGAGCCGGACGTCGTTCTGCTTGGAGCTGAACACCACCGTCACTGCACCGATGATAGCGAGCAGAATACCGCCGATGTCCGACGGCTTGAAGCGCTCGCCTAAGAGGATGGGCGAGATAATGACGTTGGAGAGGAGCGCCACCGCGCCGAGCGGAGCAACGAGGGAGGCAGGTGCAAAGCCGTACGAGATGAAGTTACCCGCCTCGCCCACCGTCATGAGCGCGAGACCGAGCCACCACAGCTTGCTATGTAAGAACATGGTGTCCATTCCATTACCGTTGCCATTGCCGTTGCCGTTTCCATTGTGCCCATTTAGATCGCCATGATCCTTGTGGAGCTTTTGATTGCCGTTCTGGGTGTTCCTCGAATCGTCCTGATCAGAGTTGTGATGGCGATGGGTGGACGGCGAATGCTTGCCTTGAGATTGTACATCTTCCGAGCTCGAAGAAGCTGAGCCTTCTGCAGCGTGCCCGTCTGCATCATTGGTGGATGCGTGACTGGAGTCCGGGTGTCCTTGGTGCGCGTGCTGGAGCCGAGTATGCGCGAGCTTCTGACAATTGAGCGCTAGACTGATGGTTACGTTTCCAGCCACTGCGACCACAACGCCGATCCAGGTGCGGCTGGCCGAAAGCATGTCGGAAAGTCAGCCGAGTGCGTACACGCCAAGGGCCTCCGATGCGTTCGATAGCGATGTAGGTTTCAGGAAGCCATGGCGAGTGTCACTCCCGTTCAGCCATTCGAATGTGGTGATCGGAACGATGCCGATCCGGTGAAGCAGAGCAGGGACTGGGACAATTCAAGAAGCGCGGTTCAGTCAGCGATGGCCGACTGCAGGCACGAGTGTGGAGGCGGTCAGGCGAGAAAAAAAGCACAATGTAAGATCGATCTTTGTGACAGCCATCCTCTTCGCTGAAGATGTGCCCAGTGAAGAGCTAACAAATTCGGAAGAAAAATTCGCCCTGCTTCGGCTTCGGTACTCCCGAGCCGTGTTGGAACGCGCCCACAGATTCGGTCAGGTTGAATGGGTCTCCCGGGTCAGCTGAGCCGCGGCCTGATCCGAATCGAACTCTGCATTTACAGCTATCGTGTGAGAAGCTCCTGACCGTTGCATGGGAGCCAAGCCAACGATTCCGACGGTGACCAGGAAAGGTGGCGTGCTTGCTCCCGGTCATTGGTTCGATTTGGCTCGAGGCAAGTTTTGTGCCGAGCGAATGTGCGGTACTCTTACTTCTCCTGGTTCGCTCGGCTCCAACTTCCGCAACACAACCAGACCGCATGACTCCGCGGAATGTGCCCTGGTCGCGGGCGGTGTTGCCCCGACAGGTAGCATGAGGAAGAGACCCAGATAACGAAAGCTACGAGTCGAGCTGGTGTCACGATGCCACGAGCCCAGTTGCTGCGGTAGGGGCGTCTTTTTGAGCGAGATTCAAGAAGCGATGCTCCGCGTGGTCAAGATCTCATTACGTGCAACGATGAAGGCCGCTGCACTCTCGAGTGCGGGGAGATAGCCAGATGAATCTGATAGCAGACCGGGCTGTGCTCAGACGGGTACTGGCGTAGTTCTGTTCCACGCGATGTCCTGTTGTTTTAGCTCGAGGTGACCTCGCTTGTGTTGGCGTGTTGGTTTGCAGACATTAAAAGTCCGAACCACTTTCGGGTCGATGGTCCGTTACCATCCTGCCCCGCTCGCGTCCGACGGCGATAAATGTGGGAAGCAAGCATGCAGCACCAACGTCTTCTCTGCACATATCTGCACATGTGTTGCTTCAAAGTTTAGTTCGGCTCGCTTCCATGCTCATTCGCTCCTCCCTTGCCGAAATGCTTCCCGCTGACTACGTCAGGAGACGATGATCCACGCAGAGCGATGCCAGCAAGCTTGCGATTGCCCTGGATGCCGACATCCGAGAGTGCGGCATTCGTCCGAACTCTTGGGTGACACACACGCACGATTCCACCGCGAATCGCATCGGATGCATCGGAGGCTCAGCAGCGTAAGTTGAACCTTATGGCCGTACTCCACCACCTGCAGCTGACGGACTTTCGCGCTACGTCACATCACATCGCGCGCCGCTCACATCACGCGCTGCATACGAAGAGAGATTTGCGAAGGGGCCTGGAATTCGATTCCTGCAAACTACAGATTACCGTGACGAGGGACAAGAATGAGCGAAGCTGACAACGAGGCGAGCAAAAGAAGGGGAAGCATACTAAGCAGGACGAGCGAGGTGATTACTGCAAAGACTAGGACTGCACGACGGAAGACGCGGGATAGGATATGGGTGTAGGCGGATTTCAGACAAAATGGGTCGCAATCTGCATGTTGGGGGACGAGTTGGCGCTGAGGCCTCCAGCGGGTGCCAGCGCCTGTCTTGGCGTCGAAGGCTTGTTGAGCGCGATGGGTCCGCCCAGGCACGCCTGGCTAATGGAGCCGCGCTTGCCGCTCACCGAGACGGCAGCCTGAGCAGCGGCAGCCGCTGCGGCCGAGGCCGCCGCGTATGGGTCGTGGCGAGGCTCGCTGTTTTTGTACTTGTCCGAGCCCGCTGTGAGCGAGAGCAGCTCCGACGAGCGTCCGACCAGTCCGGCAGGTCGGAAGTGCGTCTTGAGGTGCTGCGCGAGATTGTCGGAGCGGCCGAAAAACTTTCCGCACGTCTCGACGGGGCACTTGTGCGGGCGCTCCTGGGTATGCGTGCGGTTGTGGCGCTTCAGATGCTCCATCCTCTTGAAGCGCTTGCCGCAGTGGCACACGTGCAGCTTGTCAGCCGAGCTGACAATCAGAGGTGGAGGACCAGCGTTGCGAGCACGGCCGCGAGGCGTGGTGCGCGTCACCGAGCCAGAGACGCTGCGGCTTCGGCCGTCGAGCATCGATGTGAACGAGCCGTCGTGGATGGGAGAGCCGAGCGACATCATGCTGTTGCTTCGGTGGCCCGACATGGGCGGCGCGCTGTAGTAAGGGTCGAAGCCAGGCGACATGAGGTCGTGCGTCGGCGTGGACGGGTACATGACGTTGGCCTTGCCACGGACATCGCCGCCCGAGACCACCGACGACGACGGTGTCGAGGGGAACGACGCAAAGGAAGACGCCTCGGAAGAGGTGGATGAGCGCGAGAGCTGCGGCATCGGGCTCGACATGGGCGCCGAGGCAACCCTTGCCATGGCCGCCGACGACGACGACATGCCAGCCGAGGTGTCGGGCAAGCTCGAGCGCTGGAACTGGAAGTTGGGTGGGCTCTGGAAGTGGTCCCGGAATGCAAGGTTGGCCTGGAAGCTCGGTTCGTGCTTGGGCATGTTGTGAAGTTCGGCGAGGCTGAGCAGCGGCGGAGTGTCCTTGCTGGGCGTACCGATCTCGTGCGGAGCGTACGACTCGTTGCGAATGCTGTCGGCGCTCGTGAGCCTTCGGAGCGCGATGGCCGAGGGAGGGTAGAAGGGCGAGCTGGGATTCGAGGCATCGCCGCGGATCGAGTGATCGGGGGTGGAGCCCGGCGAGTACGAGTGACCAGGCGTGAAGGTGCACGGGCCTGGGCCGAGCGAGGCGCGGTTGTAGGCCGACTGCGGAGTCACAGGCATCTGAGCGGCACGGAAGCCGTCGCTGAGGTTGAGGACGGTCTGGCCGGCAAAGGTGCCCGTGTGTGCTGGCATGGGCGTCGTCTCTTCCGAAGCGTCCGACTCGTTGAGCTTCTGCGAGTGGCCGTAGAAGTTTGGCTCGGCATGGTGGGTGGAGAGCATCGAGACGTCGAACGACTGCGCAGCCCTGCGACGAATGTTGGAGGGCGGTGGCATCTCGAGGCTGAACTCGTCTTGGCCGTGAGAAAGCGCAAGCAAGGCGTTGTGCTGGTTGGGCTGGAATGCAGCGTGGTCGGCGTAGCCATGCAGCTCGTGGTGGCCAGGTGCGTCCGGTGTGCCGAGCGCCAGGCCCGAAAGCGAGGTGAGCGAGCCGGGCAGCGCCATGGGCGACTCGTTGGGTGTGAAGGAGCGCGGCGAGTAGGAGCCAGGCGCATTCGAGTGGTCGGATGCTTGGCCGAGACTGAGGCAAGAGGAGGAGGTGGCCGAGCTCACTGAGCTGCGACGCGCACCAAACGACGTGTGAGGCAAGCTGCCAGAGTAGCCAAAGTGGGGCATCGAATGCGACTCGGACATGGCTACGCCCGAAGACGCATGCATCTCTGGCGAGAGGCTGTCGAGCAAGCCGAGGGAGTTGTGACCAAGGTCATGTGCATCGCTCGAGACCGAGTCTGGGGTGCTCAAGGGACCGTACATGATGGCAATATTATGGAAGGGAGGTAATACGTGACAGATGATAGCGAGGGATGATGGCGAGGTCTGCTGGATTAAGGTGTCAGGAGTTCTGGCACGGCGATAGCGATGGCGATGGCGATTACGTCGGATGGTAATTAGATGACTGGCGTGCAGATAGAAAGGATGCGGAGACGGAAAGGAAACTGATGCTTGTCGTCGTGATGAATGCTAGCTGCTCGCTGATGCCACAGTGTAGGTGGGTGATGAAAGCAAAAGCTACTGGGTCGTGAGGGTGAGGGCGACTCTTCAAGAGGCGGCTCTGGGCGATTCTGCACGGGAAAACGACTGAATGCTATGGGGTGATGCTGCAGGGGCTGTGGTGTGGTGGAAGCACGAAGATGGGACGGGGGACGAAGCAGGGCGATGGGGGAACAAGGGGAAAATGTGAGGATGAGGGGAACAGAGGGCGGAGCCAATGTGGTTTTGTATCATTCTGGAGTCTGGGTAAGGCGCTGTCCAGGACGTGAGCCACGGTAAGGGGTGGCCGAGTCGCGTTCGAGTGCCACTCAAGGTGCCCTGTAGTGCGGCAGGTGTCGAGTAAGGACAGGATCCGGCGTCTTTCTGTACGGCACTCGAGGGGTCGGCTGGCGGTGCGTACCAGCCGAGAGGCGAGGCAGAGCGCGACAGGAAGCAGCCAATGAGGCACGCATGGCAAGCGACGTTGCCCATCTGAGGCAAGATCTGCGGAGGTGTTGGTCGGACAAGCAGAATTGCAGCACGGTCGGAGTCCCCGCGCGGCCAAGAGGCCAAGAGGGGGACAGTCACTCAGGCACAAACCGACAGGTGCTAGGAGGGGGGGGGGTTGTTCGACGCCAGGATGCGGACGGCTCGCTGGTGCATTGCGAGCCAGGGCCAGAGTCTGATGAGGTCCAGCCATGGTCCCGCGGCCACGGGCAAAAAAACGGCAGCTGCACGTTGGCAAAGACAGCGGGAGAAGCCCAGAAAGAGGCAGGAATCCAGGCGTTGGTGAAATATGGGTGGGTGGCGGGTCACTTGGGTGGCGGATGGGAAAAAATGCAGCTGCAGAGGTCGCATGCACAAGCGCTCCAATCGCCTGGATCAAGATTTGGGGCCAGGGCTGTGGGAAGGAATGATCGGCAAACCAGGCCGGCATGGACGAGCAGCCGCACACAGGACGAGGCAAGTTTAGCAGGCACGCGTGCGAGATGGGGATCGCATGGTGGCGTGCTGCACTGCTGCAGCAGCTGCTTGCCGTCCGAAGCAACACTGGAATGGCGCTTAATTTCCGCGACAAGGCGGCAAAGACCGTGGATTGACAAGGGCGATCCAAAAGGGGCAGGTGTGTGGGGAGCAAAAGGGCTGCTTCGCGCCTTCGACGCTGCCCTCGACCCGCTTCACCGCGGGATCTCTCCTGCTTGCTCTCTTGTTGGAGCGACCCGAATTTGCCACACACTAGAGCCATCAGGAGAATCGTTCCCAGTGGTACCGTGAGCTTCGAGACCAGCCAGGGAGGCAGCGAGGGAGAGGGCGGACGAAGCGGCCTCAACTGAGGCGGCTCTCCCAGTGGACAGATGGCTGGCTGGCTTGGCTTTGCATCGCTGGTTGCTCTGCGCTGGACTGGGCTGGGCTGAACCGCGGGGCGTCCAAGAAAATGAGGCTTGTCGGCTGGGCATGGGGCGCAATGGATTAACTGGCAACCGCGCCGGCCAGCTGGCTGGCGGTAAGGTCGCAAGCGCACTTTGCGAGCCTGCTCTCGTGTCAAGCTGAGACAAAAGCCATGTGCAAATCAGTGGGTAAATTGCAAATTGGCTGGGCTTCAAAAAGGGGGTTGCGGCGCAGTGAGGCAGAGAGGCAGTGAGAGAGAGGGAGAGGGAACTGGGAAGGCCAACCCGACGCAAGGGGCTGCCAGCTTAGCCGCCTAGCAGACGCATCCGATTGATGGTAAAGGCGGTTGCGCTGTGCGTCTTCAGCGGTCGGGCGCTTGAGGTTCGAACTCGGGAATTAAAATTTCAACGCCGCAGGCACTTCCCCGCCCTGAACGAAAATTAATTTTCAACCCGGACCAATTTAGTATTTGATTGTCAATTTCTTTAATCCACTGCAGTTTGGTCTGAAAAAGCAGGTGGCGAGGTGCTCGACAGCGACCGGAATGCGACGTGCTTCTCCAAACCCCGCCGGACCCAGCGATGCGACCGTGCGCCCTCGTGTTGCGTATGAAAGGCTGCGACGATCCTCACTGAGACCGCACACGATCCCCACTTCGGATCGCACGGCCTACAATCAAGGTGAAGGCGGCCATGGCGACCACGATCGGATGCGAATGGGCCGAATCGCTGTTTCGGTGAGCGGTATGGGTCTCGGTGCATCTGGTGGAGCTGCGTCTGGAGGAGCTAGGCTGGTTTTGACAGGCGTCACAAGGTCTCGGTCTGCGTGCTCCGACGGGCGCTTAGGGTGTCGATGGCGATGTGAACCGATCGACGGACGTCAGGGCTTGTGCATGTGTTCCACGGCTGGCGAGGCGCACAGGCGAGGCGGCGCTGATTTCCCATCGATCCACGCGCGATGTTTCGATGCTGCACATCTGTCGACTTGCGCTCGGAAGCTTGTGGCTAGTCTCGCAGACGCAGCTCGTGCAAGCAGCAAGCGCAAGCTTTCAACGCGATTGCGCGTCTACTGTAACTATCCCCTCGCAGCAGCAGAGCTCGGCGTTTGGAGCCGTGTCATGGCGGTCCTCGCACTACTAGTCGTCCACGGACAGGCTTTCGGCTCGTCTGCGTCTGCACGATGCATCTCCCAAGCTGCCGGACTTGCGCTCCCTCGGAGCTTGTATCGTTTCCAGGGTCCTCGGGAGGTAGGCCTGGCCAGCTGTCTTCTTCCCTTGTCTCAATCCTTGCTTCCTATACCGTTCCGTCCAGCCACAAGCGTGAGGTGGATGCCGTCTTCGCACGGGAGGGAAGTTCCCGGCCGGAATGCGAACATCTGTCCTTGGCGAGATCGAAAGCGGAGAGCCAAGCTGCGCTCTCAGTCGGCGGGACAGGGGCGCGTGATTGCTTCGTGTTGGTCTCGGGTGCGTGTGTCATTTGCGGGCCTGACAGCAGCTCCGCTTCGGGCTTCCCGGCTCGCCAATTTCGGAGCCCCAATTTCCAGTTCATTACCAAGAGTCCATTTTCTTCTTTTTTTCGCTTCCTGTTCAGTTGGATCCCAGCCTTCGAACACGATACAGGTGCATCGAGTGCGGTTCGAGCTGCGCCAACCACAATTCGCTGGCTCCACTTTGGAACGTCGTCTGCACTTCAACGATGGCAGATGAGGGCGACAACGGTACGACAGCTCGCGGGTTCTCTAGGCTAGGATGATGTGCGCGGTCGGTGGAATGCCGCGACTGCCGCGACAGCTAGGCTCTTCTGCTCTCCCGACCGGCCAAGACTGAAGCCCCAAGTGTAACGCGACCGCAGACACGAGAGGCTCGAACAAGGTCTGCAGCTGGGTCTCCGACGGAATACCATACCTCGCAGACGGATTCGGAAAGCCGCCCGAGGATCGGTGTTGGGTTCGGCTCGCTTAGCGCGCCAGCCTTCATGGAACCGAGTGTGCAACGCATGCAGACGCGCAGACGCGCAGACGACCCTAGCATCCTCTCCAGGGCCGGGAGACGGCCGCCCCGCGCACCTCGTGCGTGACACGCCCGCCGTGTGGCGACAGTCGCCCGCGCCCGGCACTGTCGATTCCGACACGCGAGGATCTTTGCCGAAGCGTCGTGTTCTGTCATTCATCATAGCCGCGGGTGTCGTCCGCGGTCCGACGCGACGTGATTGAAGGTAAGGGCAGAGGTCGTCACCGGACGTGGTGATGCAAAGCCTATACGAGGCCACGACGGCCAATCTTGCCGGCAATGGCAAACAAAGGTTGTCAGTAACAAACACAAACTGGATAGCGATCGCGGCAGGTACGACAAGCGCTCGAGCACGCGCATGACGGAATGGCTGAGACAGCCCCGACGCGCTCTCACGGCCCTGACTGCTGCACTACACCGTAACCTTCTGCGGCTGCACCGGTCATCCAACCGACTCGATCTGGTACATGGTGCAATGCTCTCTTGCAGCGCGGAGCAAACTGTGCCACACACAGATCCGTGCTGGGCGCCAAACCCGCTGAATCGACTGCATTCAGGGAATGATGCAGCTGCAAACGCAATGGCACGCCGCTACCCTGTCATGTGCCTGGCTGCCCAGCGGTTGGAATTCGGGTGATACTTGCCAAAGACCGGAGATTCCATCTGCCGATTTGGACACTCCGCTCCTCTGGCAAGTCGCACAGCCTGATCCGCGCTGGGACGATCGCGTGCTGTGCAGGCATGGCGGGACAAGTCGAAGAAGGAAGGGAGCAACTGGCCATGGTGCTTGGCTGGCATTCCGCGCGCGGGCTCCCCTTTCTGCGACCGAGTGCACACAGTGCGGCAAGGCGACATCTCCGCCAAGCTCGGAACGGGCTGAGTTGCATTTCTCAAAGTTTAATCCTTAATGGGCACCTGACGCGCCTGACATCTTCTGCGAGTTCGAATTGACAGCCACGTCCGTCCGTCAGACAGGAGAGACAATGGAGGATTGCTTTCGTTTGGATAAGGATTTATTCCGTGCATCTTTCGGATCTCAAAAATAAAACCCTAAGCGCTTCACAATAAATTTAATAGATTTTTTCCCGCTTTTTTTTTT